GTAAGCCGGGGTGTATACATTTTAAATAAATTAGCGTCCTTAAATTTCGAAATATTGAAATTTCAAGCATTTTCTGAAATTTACCGTTATATGAAAAGAGGCCTCAATTTTAGTCATACATTTGTCTATATCTATCTCGATTCGTTTTGCCTGTTACAAACAACCGTTATGTGAACAAAGTTATAATACCCTTGTGCACAAGTGCGCTCGGGTATAAAAATAGAAAATATGAAAATTGCTAGGTGTATACACATAGATATATTACACTCAAGCAACCGCCCACGAATATACAAATTTTTTCGTGTGCATAAAATTGATTTTTTTTATTGTATAGCTGATGATTTCATTTTACTTCTGCAGGCATATGTACTCAATGCACAATATTCTATTGTCCTCTGCTTTGTCTCACATTTACGCTAAAGTTGGTGGATTTTGCAGCTTTTTCCACTGCCAGCTGGCCCATGGGATGCATTCTTTTAGCAGGTGCATATAGGCCATGCCATTAGGGCAATCCTTCTCAATTGCAGCCACCCCCAATGTTTCACAATACCAATACTTGGCCGGATCGAAGTGATGTTGGTAAGTTTGACCGATTTCCACAGGATTACGGCAAGCCGAACGCCCAGCATCTGCGGAAACTTTTGCTACAGATATAGCCACGAGGAGTACGAAACAAGTAACTGTAATTAAATGGTTGAAATAGAAGAGAAACGAGAGTCAGTAAATGAAAACAAACAAAAAAAAAAATTATGCGACTCGGTTTGTTACACAAGAATGTTCCTCATATGTATGTATGTATGTATGTACGTACTGATGAATTTCATTTTGCGATGTGTGCAAAATGTATAGCGACCGACAAGAAAGGAAGATATTTTTTATGTTTGCGGTCGATATAGGAGAAGCAAGTAGTGCAAATTTGTGAGCATCATACAGCTTTTATAAGTGCGAAAATTTATGGCGTTTTCTTTTCTACAAAAAATGTTGCCTTTGCATTGCCTTCTCCTTAGTATTTGCGCGTAGAAAGCACTGAGAAGGCAACATTTTCCGTTAGAAAAGAAAACGCCATTAGTTTATTTAAAATGGCATAAAAAAATTAAAGCAACAAATTAAAAACCCATTAATGAGTTCTAATAATAGTTATGAGACATGTGTTTATCAATTAAGAAGTTTTTTTGCAATGTTATCATTTCTTTTTTTTTCATATTTGGAGGCGAAAGACGCTTGCATTCATATCTTATCTAGGCGTGCAATCTCAGTATGCGTTATACTGCATTTCCATTGGACATTGAAAAGGCAGAATTGTTCATTCTGCGACTATGCATTGAAATGACGAAACAAGTTTTACCATTCGACAAATATTATTTTTTTGAGCAAGAATAATATCGTTAATTTTTGAATGTATATCTATCCGTTAAATTTTTGATCGTTATTTTTGATTTTTCGATCATATTATAGTCGTTAGTTTTGGGTTAAATTTTTCGATCGTAAAATATTTAAATTGGCCCTAATAATGCAACTCCATTATTAATTGAATTATATTTTGTTTCGTAATATAGACAAAAAGAAAAAAAATGGGCGACTCCACCGTCTAGGTTTCGCGGAAAACGTTTGTCACATTTGTTTATATGAAAAGAAGCTTCTAGTCCATATATAAAGATTAGTTATTAAAAAATATTTGTATTTTTATAATTTTTGTACGACGTTTTCAATGTGGATTTATGTGGTTCTGATTATGTAATGTGCTATGCTTTTATAAAAAAAACTATAAGCATTAAATAAACAAAAGAAAAACCCAAAACTGGTCAAAATCTTACTTAACTTAAGCCGCGTTTCCCCCTCCTCCCCTGCGTCCACCTCCACAAGCAAATAAAACTTATCAGCCCTGTACCCCACCTTTCACAACTGTCCTACACCTAGCTATCACGGGTGGGACATGCTTCACNCTGGTCAAAATCTTACTTAACTTAAGCCGCGTTTCCCCCTCCTCCCCTGCATCCACCTCCACAAGCAAATAAAACTTATCAGCCCTGTAACCCACCTTTCACAACTGTCCTACCCCTAGCTATCACGGGTGGGACATGCTTCATTGTTGAATTATTCTTATCTAACTGTGTGGAAACGAAAATGCAATTGTGCCATTTGCAATTAATTTCTAACATTATGTAACAAACTCGTAACGCAACTTCAACTTCTGTAATTAAATATAACAACTTTTAGATTTTTTTTTGTCACGGGAGGGACATGACCAACACCGCTTAATATAGATAAAGCGCTCACACAATTTAATATATAATAAAATTTTATTAAAATTAGATGAGTTCTACTTATGTTTTTCTACAAACCGCTTGAATTATGAAACACAAATTAATTGACAGTGCTTTCAACAAAACCTACTTTAAATTCACTAAAAATATTTACTTAGAACTTGATTTGAAAACTAAAAAAAAAGGAATAAAAATGCATTTAAAGCTTAAATTTGTCATTTTTTGGTTGATTCAAGATTTTTACAAATATCATATCCACATGTTTGTTAGTTTTATAAAGAAAATAATTTTTACACTGGGGTTCAGTTTCCCATGGAACCTCCCAAATAATAAACTATCTTAAAACTGAGATCTATCTACCACATTTTTGCCTATGCTTAGGAAGTATTACAATGTAGATTTTTAGTAAATCCCAAGCAATTAAAATTGAACACTTATAATAATAATAATAATTCCAATGGTTTTTACCCTCCATTCCCGCCCATCCTCACGAGGGGCGCAGTCCACATGACGTATTTATTTTAAATTTTTGTGAGTCACGATAGGCAGGAGTTTGTTAAGTGTCGAGATCTAAAACTGTTCAGCTACAGAACTAAATTCATCAGACGAATTTATGTCTTTATTTTAATGATTCATTTGATTTGATGATGAGAGAGGATAGTATCGATTTATTAATGATGAAAAGCGGATCTGATATATCAAACGTGCTGGAATGAGAGTTAAAATCCTGGCATAAGCAACGGAGTGGGTCGTGCAATTCAAAATTAGTTTTACAAGCTTTCAGAAATAGGGGACAAAAGTGTCTTGATACCCGGGAGGGAACATTAAGGCTAACTTCACCCAGAAGAAGCGGACTTGAAATTGAGCCTGTTAGTAATTTAACGATAAAAATTGTACCAAGCATTTGCCTGCGCCTGGCTCGAATAAGGCGGAAGGTTATATTGAGAATCCCAACGGAAATTTCTTAAAGCAAAAAGTAGGAATTGTTTTTGAATTGATTCTATCTTGTCTGGGTAAATTTGATACCTTGGATTCCAAACCATCGAACCGTATTCCAGAATTGACCTAACTAATATTGTAAACAGGGTTTTAGTGATATAAAGATAACAAAATTCTTTTGACCATCGTTTCACAAATGCAAGTACACCATTAGCCTTGTTGACTGTCACATTAATATGAAGATTAAAATTAAGCTTAGGATCCATTGCGCTACCAAGGTTCACAAAATTGTGTACCTGTTCCAGGTTATGGTTACCTGCTGTATAAGAAGCGGAATGAACAGCTCTTCGCGAGAAGCTCATACTTTACATTTCGTAAGATTTAGAGGAATAAGATTTACTCTACACCAGTAAGCCATGCTGTTTAAAACTGATTGTAGCAAAGACCTTTCTTTAATTGAAACGTACGATTTATAAAGCATTACATCATCTGCATACATTAAAATGTTGGAAAATTGTATATCGTTTATAAAAAGCAAGAACAGAACCGGGCCTAGGTGGCTACCTTGAGGGACTCCTGAAGTAACATCAATGACATCAGAGATAGTATTATTAAACATTACCCTTTGTGATCTATCATAGAGGTATGAAGAGATCCAACGTAGAAAATCAGGTGGAAGACCAAGAAGATAAAGTTTATAGATGAGCAACGAATGGCACACTTTGTCAAATGCTTTACTGAAGTCAGTATATATAGCATCAACAGTTTTGCTTTCACTAAATGATTTTGAGATATAGGATGTTAATTCGAGTAAATTTGTAGAAGTTGATTTGCCCTTGCAAAATCCATGTTGACTATATGAAATGCCAGAAGAGATAGAATGCGTCAACTGATTTGTTATAATTGCTTCAAATAATTTAGGAATTGCAGAAAGCTTAGCTATTCCCCGGTAGTTCTCCACTGAAGATCTGCTACCGCTTTTATGTAACGGGGTTATGAATGATTCCTTCCATATAGTTGGAAAAACGCCCTCTTTAAGAGACAAATTAAATAACGCTATTAACGGCTTATAGAGATAATCAGCTGCAGACTGCTTTAAGGATTTCAGATAAACTACTACATCATCGGGAGATATTACTGGGATATTTATTGAGTTCATTGGGCATAGTTTAAAAGGATAGTCAATGTAAGCATGTGAGCTAATGGAATAATTGGATTTAAAAAACTGAGCGAACAGTTTAGAAATTGTTTGATTATCACTAGAGACGGTATTTTGATACTTCATGGCGGAAAGAAACCTACGTATATTTCGCTTGGACTTTACGAAGTCATAAAATGATTTGGGGTTATATATTATACGCTGTTTGATTTTACACAAGTAAGCTTTATNGGTAAAAGTAAGCTTTACAACACTTTTTGTTTAATTCAAAAAACTTATGACGCAANACTAGAGACGGTATGTTGATACTTCATGGTGGAAGGAAACCCACGTACATTTCGCTTGGAGTTTACGAAGTAATAAAATGATTTGGGTAAAAGTAAGCTTTACAACACTTTTTGTTTAATTCAAAAAACTTATGACGCAAAAGTGAGTATTTTACATAGTATGAGTGTAAACCGTTTTTTTTGTGTAATCTAAAATAACGCGACTTTCTGTTTTTCAAATTTCTCAGTTCTTTAGTGAACCATAACTGTGTTTGCTCTTCAGGAACATACATGCGTTTAGGCACATGCTTTTCAAATAATTTATGTAAAGTAAAGTTAAAAAGTGCAACGCTTTGTTCAATATTTTCTTTAAATGCAGGCCACGACAATTTAGACAGTTCTTTGTTAAGCATTTTAAAGTTGGCTTTCGAAAAATCAAAGCGAATATTTGGTTCGTATGCATGGGTACTGCAATTTTGACCATCACTTATAACTTCGTAAGATAACTCCATAGCAGGGTGGTAGACATCTTCGGGTAAAACTAGTGGATCACACTTATTTGCAACGGACTTTGAGGCATCATCAACATAAACAAGATCGAATACTTTACCAAACTTATTGTGAAGTACATACATTAACCTGAGTTAGGCAGAATTCAGCCAAGGTACGATATCATTGTCAATGATGTCCCATGATATGCTTGGTAAATTAAAATCACCCAACACAATCATTGAATCAGAGGGTTTAGTCAGTAAATTAACTGATTTCAGTAAAGAGATGTGTCGTGAATACACCAATGTGTCAGATATACGAATGCATTTGTACACGAATGCATTTGAATTCTACTGAATCAATGTGCGGAAGACTAACTTCTTCAGATGGTATTGAAGAGTCTACAGCGAAGAGTACGCCACCGCCGATTCTGTCCTCCCTATCTGGTCTATAGATATGATAATTATTTGGAAGAATCTCTGAATTGAAAATGTGAGGTTTCAGCCAAGTTTCAGTGAAAGAAGGTTAGGGTTAGGTTAGAGTGGCTGCCCCGCGCAGAG